TACTTAAAGCGAAGTACTTCTTTGATACCACAGCAAATACTACTAGATTAACTAAGAAAGTTTAAACATGATTAAACGGACAAGAGAACAGCCAGTAAAAATAAGAACAAATACACAAATTACAAGCATAGATAAATACAACAAAATATGTTACAAATAAAATAAAGTTGGTAGTATTCAAATACAGAAATGTAATAATTAGGGAAAATAACACCGCATAGTGTTCACTGAATAAATTAAACATAGATTTTTTGTTACAGCTGTTTTGTTGTTTGATGATCATTAATGACAGCAGCAGTATTTATAGGCCGCTGTCCCTTTAAGACCTGATGCACGGATCCGATATAATGATACACATCACATCCGATTTCTTTCTCGGCTGTTTTCATTCACTTGAGACATAACTGACTGCGTTTATCTGAATAATTGTCGAGATGGGTATTTTGTCATAATTTTGTGTATGTGTCTGTTCAGAGGATTCAGACGAGGATTCAGTTCGGTGTTCGTGCGCCGTCTGAAACGCATGTGCGGCTGTGCGTGGTAGAGAACAGCGCGCAAGTAACGAATCGAGTTCCCTTTCGCCTTTTCTCTCTGGAATTGTTTAAAATTCGCTTGCTTGTGTAAATACGATCAAATGATAAACTTATACTCTATTATGGTCACATTTTGCAATTAATCCGTGGATCACATGCGTGCCGAACCGTGGGGCTTGGTCCGTTCGGATCACGGATCAACTACTAAATATGGATATTTTTCTTACAAAACACATGGATTCGCTACAGGAGACCTTTATTCTCCCCCCGGAGCACGTTTTTTTATGGATGTGCTCACTTTATTTAACGTGTTTTGGACTGTTGAACAGAAACACCCGCTGACTGCAATGATAACGCTTAGAAGTACCAGGACAATTTTATACACCTCACATAGACCTAGGATGGCTTGAGGTTGAGTAAATAACAGGCTAATTTTCATTTTTGGGTGAACTTACCCTTTAACATAGAAGCTACATTTATGCAACTGGCCCATAGTGTAGTAGTGAAAACTTTTTTTTTTTTTTACATCACACGGCATTGCATTTGTATCATGTCATTTCTTTTTGTTATCTCTGCAGGTTTGGTTGAAGGAGTGAGTGACTAAGGCTGAGATAACAGTTCCAGTGCTGCTGTATTCATTACCTCAATTCCCCTGCACTTAAATTATGAAACACCCACTAGCCACATATCAATCCACCAGTCTAGGCAGCTTCAGGTTGTAGGGTTTACAGGCAAATGTCGCTGTACTATATACATCTTACCCCAGAAAATATAAGATGGTTACAATACAAATTATTATCATCGAAGGTTGAATTGGTGTTAGTAAATCAGTTGTACAACATTAAAACCATTTGTGTCCATTGGCGCAGAGAATATTGAGGTAATGGAGTCATTAGTCAAACAGAAACACTCAACATTCATTAATTATTTGCACTAATGAGTTTAACACAACCTAATAGCTTGTAAAATGCCTCAATGCACTAATATTGTTATGAGAGATAAGAGTCTGTCGCGGTCACATTATTGTAGCATTGGTTAGTTATATTGGTGTCAGTTGCGATGGAATTGTAAATTGTCCAAAACCATGTTACATTTTCCAGTTATTTCACATCAGAGTTAGCTGCTGTTTCAGGTACAGCTCGTTTGCATGTTTTCTAATGATATTATTTTCTAGTAATATCATTATTGCTGTTTTATTATTTAAGTGTGTGCTTAAATGATTTTAAGGTACTGATTGTTTTAGGATTACTGTGATGTTTACTTTTCTAAATTTATTTGTTTCTTTCTAAATGTTTTTTTTTTCTCTAACACATTCTATATCAAGTGTACTTCATTATAAATGTTTTCCTTTAACACCGTTCATGTTCTGTCACTGTCAAGAGTATCAACATGAGTATCTGCTATTAATTGATTTACATGAATGCATCCTAGATCTGTTGACATTTCTGAAAGCCATAAATATCTGCTTCCCAAATGTCTGTGACCACCTTGACATGTGCGGGGTTTTTAATCAAGTCTTTCAGTTGTTTGATGCAGTTAGAGCAGGTTTTACCAAATTGACTCTGAATTTGAGTCAGATAATAACATTGAATTAATCTTGCCCTTTACATGTCGTTGCACATTTGTTATTGCTTAACCACTAGGTGGCACCATAATTTATCAAAATATGTGAGAATATCGGGGATTTTTTACTGTTGTGGTCTACAATCACAAGCAGGGCTGTGATTAACTAATTATTTTATTCTATATTTATCTGATTATTCAATATTAAAATGGCTAAGACTGATGTTAATAAACCCAGAACATAAAATATGTGGCTAAAAATAAAGACAACACAATCATGTTGAAAACACGGATCAGTTATAAACCAGAGCTGTAGAAGGACAAATCTATAGTCCATTAGGACCACTAAAATTACAGAAACATTTTTCCACTCTACTGTAGACCGCTTGTATATTGAAATCAATGCATGGGCACTCTACCCATAACCCTGCAGTGTATTGATCAGCAAATCAACAATTTCAGCATTGTTTGATGGTGATAGTAGTGTTTTGTTCTTTCTGTTAATGTCCTTGCTAGTATAAGCGGATGGGTGTCCACACTTCTGCCAGTAAGTTCGATATCAGCAGGCTACTTAAAAGTTAATAAGAAAAAGTTAGAAAACTATCAACAAATGCTACCAACTACATAACCGTGTATCTCTGTTTTAAATTGTTTATTTACCATTATATATACACTACCGTTCAAAAGTTTGGGATCAGTAAGACTTGTAATGTTTTTTAAAGAAGTCTCTTATGCTCATCAAGGCTGCATTTATTTGATCAAAAAGCAATAATCTTGCAAAATGTTATTACAATATAAAATAATGGTTTCTATTTTAATATCCTTTTTATTTCTGTGATGCAAAGCTGAATTTTCATCAGCCATTACTCCAGTATAAAGTGCTGCATGATCCTTAAGAAATCATTCTAATATGCTTATTTATTATTAGAATTATCAATGTTGGCAACAGTTGTGCTGCCAACTATTTTTTTGGAAACTGCAATACTTTATTCAGGATTCTTTGATGAATAAAAAGTGAAATAGAACAGAATTTATTCAAAATATTAATATTTTCTAACAATATAAATCTTTGCTATCGCTTCTTATCGATTTAACACATCCTTGTTGAATAAAAGTTTTAATTTCTTTCAAAAATAGAAAGAATAAAAATTGACTGACCCCAAACTTTTGAACAGTAGTGTATATTGTTAGAAAAGATATTCATTTTAAATAAATGCTCTTCTTTTTAACTTTTTATTCATCAAAGAATCCTGAAAAAAAGTATAACAGGTTCCAAAAAAATATTAAGCAGCACAACATTTTCCAGCACTGATAATAAATCAGCATATTAGAATGATTTCTGAAGGATCATGTGACACTAAAGACTGGAATAATGATGCTGAAAATTCAGCTTTGCATCACAGGAATAAATTAGATTTTAATGTGTATTAAAATAGAAAAACTTTATTTGACATCATAATATTTCACAATATTAATTTTTTCCCTGTATTTCTGATCACATAAATGCAGCCTTGATGAGCATAAGAGACTCCTTTAAAAAACATTAAAAATCGTTCTGATCCTAAACATTTGAATGGTAGTGTGTATGTATATATATATGTAAATATTAAAAAGTAGTTGTTCTTCACATGCACCATGTGAAGTAGTAATCTATTGTTGTTCCATTAGATCCCATGTGGTTCTCTGCATATAGCAATGAATGACAATTGTATGAGGATTCTACGACAACTTCAACTTTACGAGTCTTTTGTAACCCAGAGATTTGAGGAGACATTCCATATCAGGAAAACATGCGGGAAGCGATTCAGCAGTTGGCAAGAGGAATTCAAGTATACCCATAGGACTGTTGGGATTGTCGAGAGGCCCATTTCTTATGCCTAAGTTTTGCATTTCCCCAAGAAAAGGGGTGGGGGTGAAAAAACATTTTGAGAGAACACGTACAGTGGGTACGGAAAGTATTCAGACCCCCTTAAAATATTCACTCTTTGTTATATGGCAGCCATTTGCTAAAATCATTTAAGTAAATTTTTTTTCCTCAATGTACACACAGCACCCCATATTGACAGAAAAACACAGAATTGTTGACATTTTTGCAGATTTATTAAAAAAGAAAAACTGAAATATCACATGGTCCTAAGTATTCAGACCCATTGCTGTGACACTCATATATTTAAGTCAGGTGCTGTCCATTTCTTCTGATCATCCTTGAGATGGTTCTACACCTTCATTTGAGTCCAGCTGTGTTTGATTATACTGATTGGACTTGATTAGGAAAGCCACACACCTATTCCCTGTTGTCCATGGCAATGCTTCTAATCAGTCAGTGTTTTTTCTTTTCTTATTACATTGTAATGCACTTTTATTCTTACCGGAAGCTACGAAAAAAGATGCATTTCAGATCCAATCATTTAATGTTCAAGTATTTATTTAATTGGAAAATAGACAAGTTAATTACATAAAAAAATATTAATCTCAGAAAAATTATCCAGTGAAATCCTCTTCTGATCCCCTGTCCTTCACCTCACCCCCTTCCCATCTGAGTCAGCACAGACAAAACATTTACTTTTAACTATGGTGCTTCCCAATAAAACAGTAGGAAAATCCCACGTTCAAGGAACCCCTTAGCCTCAGCAATTCCTCTTTAGATGACAATGTGTTACCATCTTGCCTTTATAAATACTCCTTGGCTGGAAATATCACTGTTTCCTTTTAAACAAAATAGCAACCCAAAAAAAAATAAAAATAACAGGAAAATGACACAAAACCAGACTGGAAAATAGTCAAAATACCAGTGTAGTTGAGTGGCTTAATACGAGATATGAGAAAATGGGTACTAAATGTGATGTGCAATGAGTCACAATAGGATTTATTTAAATGAGTTTCATGAAAGAACCAAATCCTCAAAACCTACATAAAGCATTTGTGTAATTTGAACCTCTTTGCATTTGCTATTTACATCAAACAAACTGAATCTAATTACCTGAAGCTGTTTCGTTCTTAATATAATATTGTTATTCTACATGGAGTCAAGCGTGACCCCATGCTCCCCATCCCTAAGATGGCCATCTGTGGTATATCACTCTTTGAGTGGCAGAATATATATGTGAGGGTACTTCACTTGAGCAGGCACATGTTTACACAGATCTCACATTTCCTGTCCCAGGTCTCCTGGATTTCCGTAGTTCCTGAGCCATTAGGTTCTGGATCCTGTAGCCATTGTAACAGGCTATTTTTCAGCACACATAGTCGCTTCTCCCTTCCTTTCCGAACAGGGAAGGGACTCGTGGTCAGTTAGTATCCGAACATCCACTAAACTCACTAAAGAGAGGATGGCAGAGAGACTAATATGAAAAGCACAATACTGGAATATACTTACTTTACAAGCGTGTGTTGTATTAATCTTGGTGAGTACTATGGCATATATATTTTTCTGCTGTTGTTACATATATTTATCTTACATTTCATGTTTTTTGCAAAGCTCTTTGAGCTATTGCTTGTATGAAAGTGCTTAATAAATGAGGATTATTATTATAATATTTAAAGCAATGCCTCATTTATGTACAGAAAGGCATAAAGCAAAAATATAATTGCTTTTCCTCCAAGTCAAATTTATTACGATGAATTTATGAATGTATTACAATGAAATTAATATGGGTCTACACTGTAAAATTTCAAGAACATCAAGAAAATGTGACGTGTTGCCTTTCTGACCAAGAACTATGATCTGATCCCATATGATCTGTATTTTTCCCCATTAAAGCCACAAGCTGAAGTCATGAGATCATCATCCTCTCGTCTTAGTTTTTCTTCTAAGGAACCTATATGGAACCGGTAAGAAGTTCTGTTTTTAGATATGCTATATCAGCGATCAAATTACTGAAAACTAAATATTTATATATATAATATAAGTAACTGTAATTGTGTGATATCTGTCCATTTTTCCACTGTTATGTGTCAAAAATGCAATGCATTGAGTAAATTTTACATGCATTTCATCATTTAACCTGTGGAAGTCGCACTTGTTACATTAACAATACTGGATACTTCACATAATTAAACATACACACATAAACTCAAACTCACATTGATCATTTATTATACACACACCCAAACACTGTAGAAATCGCATGATCTACAGTAACTTATTACTTACAGTAAAGACGCTTATAGTGAAACCAGTGCAGACAATTTTGTCATACTGTGGAACGAGCAAGCATTTCATACTGCATTATTGTATAATGTAAATAGTGGGGTTTGTTTGAAGTCACCATTATTGGTCTTTGACTGGAAACTCTGGCCTTATTTAATTGTATGCTAGTTGCTGTAATAGTGTAACAGGATGTAATGTTACATAAAAAAGCTAAGCACAATGATTGACATAAGACTACACACAATTTTTTACAGCGTGTTTTTCAGTATTTAGATATAATCTAGAGACAAACTTTTTAAAACGCGAACGAATGCTTTATTAGCCTCTTTATGAATTTTACTTTTGACAATATATAAACATGCCTTTTTAGCTAATGTCTCTGAACATATTGTTTTGTCCACAGAAATCTAGCTAGGCCAGAAACACAGGCCTATATTTTAATACATTTCACAGATACATAATACCAACCACTAGACTGCTGCCCACGGAGCCAGTGTGAGTGGGTTTAGTGAGAGTAGAGGCATGCGCAGAAGGGTGGGTGGGTGAATGTAGAGCAGAGCTCGCGGATGTCACACACAGCGTTGCGCATTTCACACGGTCTGAGTGCAGGGGCTTGCCATACTATCGGGGAGCGAACAGGCGCTTGACAAACAGCGGAGTATGAATGCACGCACAGACATCCATGCACGGGAATATCATTCACTAAGACACTAGCAGAGTATTGGTCGTAAACATCACGCGGGGGGAACGTTATGTGGGCATCATTTCACGGCGCGTGCTGCTGCTGGAATCGCAACTAAACAACTCTGGTCAACTCTGAGCGTCACGTTCGAAGGGTGAGGGGTGAAACGGCTTGCCATCTCAGTCCCCGGGAAAACGACCGAACCCAAAAATAACAGATCGTTGAGTTTTCTGAAGGCAGAGTCGCTTAGCGCGTGCTGCAGCAGCAGCAAGCATCTCGCGCACCGTTAGCGCAACATCTCCACGGCCTCGGAAGTTCATTTGTTTTTCTCTTTTCAATGTTTTTGATCGCCTGAACACACATTTCTATCTATTCCCTGGACGAACCCACGCTTTAGGATGCCAGATCAAATAGCGGTGTCGGAGTTTCTGTCGGAAACAACAGAGGATTACAACTCTCCCACTACATCCAGCTTCACCACCCGCCTGCAGAGCTGCAGGAATACAGTCGGTGTGTTAGAGGAGGTAAGAAACTGCTTGCTTTTCGCATGCAGCGTTGCATTAGTGCATTGCATCCGTTTACGTTGATATTTTACACTAGTACATTGCATCTGTTTATGTTACTACCTCTTTACATTGATACTTTGTATTAGCATATTGCATGTTTGTTTACTTTGGTACTTAATATATTGCGTTAACACATGTTTACAGTGGTTCCATGCATCAGTACATTGCACCTCGTATGAGTACAGTACATAGCATTACTGCATTGTATTCGTTTATTACATCGGTTTACAGTTGTCCATTGAATGTTTACATTTGTCCATTGCATCTGTTCATTGCATCTACTTGCATTTGTCAGTTACATCCTTTTACAGTACCACATTGCATTAGTGTAATGGATCTATTTTAGCATCTGCTTACATCAATGCATTGAATTTGATAACTTTGGTATTTTATATTTGTGCATATCATCTGTTTACAGTGGTGCTTTGCATCAGTGCATTGCATTTTTTTACATTGCATCTGATACTTTGTATCACTACGTGGAGCCTGTTTAGTTTAGTGCATTTTATTTTGGTGGTACTTTGCATTTGTGTATATTATTGCATTGCTTTGACACATTTCATCATTTTACTTTGGTAGTTATTGCATCTGCTTATATTAGAGCATTATGTCAGTTCACATTGGTACATTTTGAATCTGTTTGCCGTGGCAATTTGCATTAGAACATTAGTGGGGAAGTCGTGGCCTAATGGTTAGAGAGTCGGACTCGTAACTCGTTGCGGGTTCGAGTCCCGTACCGGCAGGGATTGTAGGTGGGGGGAGTGAATGTCCCACGTTCAATACCACAACTGAGGTGCCCTTGAGCAAGGCACCAAACCCCCAACTGCTCCCTGGGTGACACAGAAAAGAAAAAAAAAGGCTGCTCCGGGTGTATGTTCACGGTGTGTGTATGTTCACTGCTGTGTGTGTGCGCACTTTGGATGGGATCACTAATTCCGAGTATGGGTCACCATACTTGGCCACATGTCACTTCACTTTAACATGCATCATTTTAGTATGCATCATGCATCATTAGTAATGTCTCTTTTTTCAGTGCATTAGTATGTTGCATCTCTTCAGGCAGTGAGCAACAGTCTGCAGTGTGGGCTGCAGTTTTGTTCAGCCAGCTGGTCTGGCTTCTGATTCCACTGATGATTCATTGGGTGTACACAACCATTGAAAGTCTATGCCAGCTTTGAGACCCATATCTTGGATGGATATGGATGTTTTGATGTATAAAATGGTTGAGTTGAATTCATGGTAAAACGCCCCTGAGAGCATGTATGTGTGCATGCATCATTTAATGCACTGCACAGGGTTTTGTTGCGGTTCAGGAGCTACTCTTCAAGGGATGGTCTCATTTTGCTTACAGTGACATTCTGTAATTAAAAGCAGGAAAAGTTAACTTAGTTTCTTACTTATCTTTAGCTAGTTTGCTTAAAGGGGTCATCAGATGTGACATGCACTTTTACAAGTTGTTTGAACTGAAATGTGTGTTGGCAGTGTGTGTACACAACCACTAGGGGTGTGCGATGTGTATCGTCTGCGATAATATCGTAATTGTTGTTTTAACGATGTGCGATTTTACGTTATCGAGTATTTTGCAAAAAACATTCAAAACATCCCTACAGAGCGCACGCATACATTACGTGAAGTCTAGACTAGTGCGTGTGCGCATTTAGTGTGTTTTCTTTCACTGCATGATTGTCTATTAAAATGCATTTAGAATGATCACAAATTCAAGACATGATGGCAGAAAATTTATATATTTATACCACTTCATATAGTTATTCAATTTCATACGAAGAGTGTCGGTTTTCTCCAAAAATTACCATGATTACAAATGTGACATTGAATTCAATAAACAATAAGTTAATTAAGAGACTTACGTTTTAGACACCATATTGCTTGTTTTTGCTCTATTTCGCTAACAAAAATCATTCCGAATACAGCCACAGTGCTGTTTTGTGTCTCTGAGCAACATGACGGTGTTTCGTTCTTGAATGAATCAACCGTTTAAATGATTCGGTTCAATCGCAATTACTCACTTATTAACAGTGATTTGCTGCCACCTGCTGGCGGTTTTAATTTCAAATTTCATCTTTTTCTTTTTTCTTTTTCTTTTTTTGATTTTTTTCATGTTTTAAATAATTTCAAATATCAGTATTCAATGTTTTATGTTTAATATATCAAAACATTATTTATGCATTTGTAATTGCAGGTTAAATGCATTCATGTCTTGCATTAAACAAAATACATGTGTGTAAATACATCTAAATGCCACTTCAGATGCAGCTTCTGTGTTGATTTAATTTGCTTGGTAACAGCCCAAATGTCTTATTATTCTAATACCATGATTAAATGTAAGAATTTGACTCAAAAGATAGTGGACACTTTTAGAAAAAATTGCTTTATAAAGGTAAAAATGCCCATAAAATGCAAAAATCAGTTTAAACTTATTGGAAAAGATTAATTTCTCTCAGTATGAACTGACCACCACACAGAATATGAAGAATATTAAAAACATTAGGAGTCAGCTGTCTTCGGCAGTCCTTAAGGTACCAGCACAATAACACACTCAGCAAAATATAGTCTAATTATCGTTATCGATAAAATCCCAGAAAATATAGAGATATAATTTGTCAATATCGCACACCCCTAACAACCATCCTATAATGATAAAGGCCCACCCAGTGTTTTATTTTTTTTATTTATTTTTTTTAAATCTTGTTAAATAATTTCGCTGATCTCAGATGCCTGGCAGTGTGACGTCACAGCCCTCTACGAACACCGTGGCAATTGAATCACCATTGGTTAGTACATTTTTTTGTTTACTCGCCAGACTGATAAATATATATATATACAGTGGGTACGGAAAGTATTCAGACCCCCTTAAATTTTTCACTCTTTGTTATATTGCAGCCATTTGCTAAAATCATTTAAGT